AAAAAAAAAAAAAAAAAAAGCTCCACTGAATTTGTAACTAGACAAATTATGATAGTATGTAAAAAACTGAGAGTATGATTTGATGTGTACAGAACAGTAAGAAAAAGATAGGTAATGTGACTAAGATTAATTAGGTAAGAAAAGAGTAGAAAGACCAAAGGGTACTCAGCACAACCAGAGGAAGGGAATCAAGGATTTATATTTCACTAAAGAGAGTTTGTGATCTATTTCACGTTCTTAATGATCCAAGCTAATGGAAGGGAACAACAGCATGCATAATCCAAAAATAACTTCTATTTGGTTTTGAAATACATTTGGTGAATTTTGTTTTGGTAGCAGATTTAACTTTCTATTTATATTTTGCTGAGCCTACTATTTTAACTCTTAAGTACTTTCCATAGTCTGCATCAGACCCTAAGACTCCTTGTTTCTGACTATAAAAACTATCTACAAGTGTGTGTTCCCTAATGCACGCTAGAAGGATAAAAGGAGTAATTTTGGAGCAACATGGAGATACTGGATGGCAAGGGGGAAACTGACCCATGATTGAAACATCAGCATGTCCAACAACTAAAACAAACAGCCCAAATATAGATAAGCAAAGGGTAATTACAATAAGATTACTTTTTACCCTAGCTACTTTGCAGCAGGATGACAAAGCATCTAGTCTTGGCTTTTCTCTTTTGTGCAAAAGGATGCCAAAACTCCAGACTGAGCATATGCCACGTGGAGCAGCTTGCCTGGTTACTAGTGCTTTTTGAACTTTTTAACAGAGACCCACCATAAAATTTGGCATCATGACCTAGTATAACATATGCCCATGTGTATGAAATAAAAAGTTTCATAGGACATTATTTACCCTTGCTACATGGTACACACTCATACTTCTACTCTACTTCAATTTTTTTTTAATGGTGATCACAATACACTAAAATGACTTTACACTCCACCAGCCATAACACTTGGTTTACAAAACAACCCAGGATAAGGAAGTTGAAAGCTTGTCTTCGGAGTGATGAGAGATAGAACATCATCATTTTAAAAGTTCAATAATAGGGCGGCGCCTGTGGCTCAGAAGGGTAGGGCGCTGGCCCCATATGCTGGACCCGGGTGGCAGGTTCAAACCCAGCCCCGGCCAAAAAAAAGTTCAATAATAAAAAGCATGCATTTCCATAGACCCTCAGAAAAAAAAAAAGCAATATAATTTAAGTGCCCCCGTGAATGGTAAAGAAGCTAAAAGCAAAACAGAATCACAATAGGCTAAGGTAGATGAAGTTTTGTTTCAAGAAGAGAGAGGCCCAAGGTAGACCATGAATGATAGGTTTAAGAGCCAAGCCATAGTAATGGAGGGGACACATCTGACTTCAGGAGTGTGTAAAGACAAGACATGGCATATTAAGGGAACAATGATCCCAGCCGAAACTCTGTGTTTTTAAAGAACTTAAATGGCTGCTGAACAAAATTACTTGCAAAGAGAATTCTTTTTCTCTGAGCATTTCTTTAACCTGAGACCTGTGAATGACTCATGATGGGACATGAAGGTGACTGCAAAATATGGAAGAAAGACATCTGTTTAAAATTTATAGATACTGTATTTAAAACAAACTAGGATCAAGCTTGTAACTTAAAACTGCTTAGTCAAATCTCAAAGAGATACAAACATTGAGATTGTTCAATAGTTAAACCCATTTTACTAATTTATTAGTAATATGTTATTAATAATAGCACATGGTCACCACATATTGAGTACCTACTATATGCCAGGAATTTTGGCATATCTGGTGCATACATTCTCTCTACTGTCACAACCGTCACATGTCCCTCACTTTACAGATAAGGAAATTAAGGTTCAGAAAAGGTCTACCAAGCATCAAAGGCCACTTTATTTCTGCTCCTCGTATTATCTTTATACTAACACGAAGTCCTTTCCTATTAATAAACAAAACAAAACAGAAATACCAACCTGTTCTGAAGTAGATAAGGGAAGGGGCAAGGACCCTAATTCCTTCAGCAATTCATTTGTTTCCTTGGCAAGTTGATTTGTGGAGTGTTGTAAATGTTGCCTAAGAGAGAAAAGGTATGTTTCAGGATATTGTCACTTCTTGACAGAGGTTATACTCAGAATCACATTGTTTTCAGAGTGTTTTCACAATGCAGGGAAGAAATAGTACCCTAGATGCCCAGGTTCACAATAAAATTTCCTAAATATTACCCAGATAAGCCCACTTCAAGGCATCTTCACATTACTGAGCAGAAAGAACCTGCCTCAAAAACCTGCAGCAGAAAACACCTGCTCAGGGAGGCACAGATCAGAAGTTTTAACTTTGAAGTTTTCTGTCTTTGCACAGAAAAGAAAAGCTTATCAGCAGTTCTCATAAAAATATAAGAAGAGCAAATGCCATACACACCTAAACCTAATGATTTTAAGACACTGAACTCTCTCATAAAACTCTCACATTTAGATTTGGCACCCGTAGCTCAGCGGCTAGGGCACCAGCCACATACACAGGAGTTGGCAGGTTGGAATCCAGCATGCGCCTGCCAAACAACAATGACAACTACAACCAAAAAAATAGCCAGGCGTTGTGGCAGGCACCTGTAGTCCCAGCTACTTGGGAGGCTGAGGCAAGAGAATCCCTTAAGCCCAAGAGTTGGAGGTTGCTGTGAGCTGTGACGCCACAGCACTCTACCCAAGGCAACATAGTGAGACTCTGTCTCAAAAAAACAAACAACAAAAAACACCTCTCACATTTAATTACCCAGAAGTTCAGCATGGTTAGTGTCTGTCACAGTCCACTGATCAGAATCCAGCATAGATGGTTGAATGAAATGTGCATTAAAAGCCTACCTGCCCTATGGAACAACTTCCAAAGTTCTATTCCCACATTTTTGCTTAAAGCTGTTTCTTTTTCAGCTTTATTCTTAACTACCTACCTGTTTTTTATACTTCACTTTCTAGCTTTTACCTCCAAAACAAAGAAGCCCTAAGCTGTTTAAAAATACATAAAGAGTGGAGAGGGAAGGAAATTAGAGAGCGAAGAATATGTAATATATTTTTATTTTATTTTTTGTTTGAGACAGAGTCTCATTAGAATATGTAATATATTACGTGGGACTGGAAAGTAGTAGAAATATTTAAAAAGTTCCTTTCACTCATGGTTTCTTCTATTCTCTGGACATTTCTACAAAGGCTTTATGGGAGAAAAACCAAATGCTATG